GAATAAATAAAAATAAAAAATAAGTTTCTTTTTAAATTATTTTATTATAATATGATGAATAGTTAAAACATGATAATTAATAAACCGATCTGACTTAAGTTATACATCGATAGGATAGTATTTTTGTTTTAATTATGTTGTACTTTTGTCTTTTGTACTATCAAGTTTATCAAGAAAATAAATAGTATTTAAATAGTAAATGCAAATTATTAATTTATTAATATGTATTAATATTATAAATTTATATGCAAGAAAACAATGTAATTTACCATACTTCATTATATCACTAATTGGAGAGTAAATCTACACATCGAAAAATAAAATAAAAATTCCAAAAAAAGGTTGACCTGTGGTCTGCGACTTAATAAAGTTCCATAACAAATACTAGATATTCACAAATATTCTTAACAAAAATACTATTAATTAATTAAATTAATTTCCCACTTATTTGAACAATAAATATTTTATTTTAGATCTGCAGCGACAGTCAACCCGCCGACAGTCGCGGACGGGTATTTCCACTGCAATACGTACCTATTTGTCCATTTAAAAATAACATTGTTATTACTTGTTAAAATTAAAAATAAAAATAATATTATTTTATTCACATACTCATTATTACACATTTCTATTAAAATATTATTTTGTAGTTATGACTTTTGTTTCAAAGTCCATTTTTAAATTTAAATTTTTAAAATTTAAAACCTTTAAAATACGCCCACGAAAATTATACGCACGGGGATAAATCACCGACTCCCCCCCTAGATCCGGCCGGAGTATTATCATATTCATATAATTATATTTCAAGAAATTATATATAAATGAAGAAGCACAACATTTTCAAATTGTTTTTTAATACCTAGTTGAACGTTGAAATAATCGTATACAATTTAAATGGTTTCAACTATAAAATAATCTTGTATAATATAAAATATTGTATCCATGTTGTTTTATAATAACTTATAAATATACAGAACGAAACAGGAAGACCTGATAGATTAAATTTTAATAACTTTTGTTCTATTCAGTATTTTGATTTTTTTTTACATATAGTCTAGCACTACAAATATAATATAAAAAAATTATTTTTATTATTTAATGCTGAAAATTTGATAATCTGTAATCCAATTTGTAAATCTGATGGTAAAAACATTTATCTAAGTCAAGTAGTTTATTTTTTAGAATTTTTATAATATCAATATTTTTTAATTAAATTGAGAATTTCTTGACATGAGTTTAGTTTTCAAATTATTTATTAACCATATAGTTTCCAAAGTTTTGTCATATATTTGAGTAGCATAATTTTTTTAATTTTTTTGTCAAGTCTTTCTGTTACATTTTGTGCATACCATAAGGCATAAGTATTTATAGTATATTATTATTAGGTATTCATCGTATTAAATGGTAAAAAAATAATTCACTTACCATTCAATATTCATTAATAGTTTTATATATTATATTATAATTAAAACATTTTAATTTTGGTACTTACCCTTTACTGAGTCGTAGATTAACGTAAAGATACGGATGAAAAATATTCAAAATTTAAATACTGTAGACACACAACACATACGTTTATTACAACATACAAAATACAAATTAACAATTTACAATTTTGTATTGGACTGTTCAGAACGAAGGCGAATACGCTAATGAAAATATAAGTCTAAATTCTAAAATATCCTTAAATGTAAGTATACCTACCAGGCTACCTATATCATTTGTCCTATCCCTCGTCTCTAAGGTAACATAGTATATTTTTTTTTTTAATTTTTACCAAGAATTTATCAGCTATCAACTGCTTATAGTTAATATGGGTTTAATGTTTGTCAACATTGTTTGATGTGTATCTTCATATATACATACTAACCCATATGGATATACCTACTGTATTGTCACAATTAGCAATGCATAAACACAATAGTATAGGGTGTCCAACTATTACGAACCGTTGATCAGTATATTAGAAATGTACCTTTAGTTACGTGTATAGCAATTAATTACCGATTATCGGTTACCTTTGACAGGTGACGGTGTGGCACTCTGACAGTTGTTCTGTATATTATAAATTTAACGTTAATCTTAATTAATAAAGCGACCCCCGCCCCCGTATGTACATCACTGCATGCCAGTGATATAATATATGCTTTACCAATAAATTACCAGTGCATATAATACACACTATATAGACCGAGATATTCACAGAGACTCCTTCTGATGTTGGTTTTAACAGGAAAAAAAAGATCGAGATATTAATAAATTATACTACTATAAAGTCAAAGGAGAACCGTAAAATTGTACGGGCCGTTTCCGTGGCGTCGGTGTCGGCCTGGCCATGGCGGCTAAGCCGCGAACGCGTCCGGAGCCCCGGACCGTATTTGTGTCTAGGGGCCCTGGATATTAGGCAAAAAAGTCCGGGAAAAATTATTTAAATATAAATTAATTATTAAATTAAAAGAAAATTGGTTCTTAAAAATTATTAAACAAAAATGTTTTATTAAGCCTTGTTATTATTTTCAAATAATATGTTTTAATCGCTCTGTATACTCATATTTACTTACTATAGAGACAGGTTTATAAGTGATAATCATTCAAGTTTTAGTATAGCCGTATAGGGTTATATTACATAATTACAAATTATGTATAGGGTCATTTCATTCTGTGAAATGAATTCTATAACATCACTTTAATAATGTTTTGAGTAAAATGATTTAACTAATGCATATTATTTGTTTTTTTTTTCAAAAGTTAAATATTTTATATTATTTTTAATTTTTATCTAATTATTTAAAAAGCATCAATTTATTTTATTAAAATTGTTTTCATAAAGGTTTCATTGTCAAACTATTTTTTTTTGTAATTTAATTTAAAATATTTTCAAAATTAAATCAAATATTATTTCTACACATAAAATCTAACATTCTAACAAGTAACATTATGTATACCTTAGGTTAGTCCAACCATCAGCCTGAATACCTAAATTTGAAGCATTTTGAATTTTATTTTCAACTTCAAGAAAGAGATGAGAATATTCCATATTCAATAATTTACCAGCAAACAAATACCTTAGGAAACATTAAATTGAATAATTTAGATAATATTTTGTTGAATAATTGGAAACCAATTATCATAATCAAACATCAAATATTATTCAGTATTACTACTATTACTGAATAATCAGTAGACAGTAGGTAACAAAAACTCAAATCAGAAAAGTAGGTAAAACCTTATAAGTAGGTAGCAACAAATTTAGTAAGTTATGATAATATAATTACATCACTTTTTTCAAGTATAATATGTACTTACCTAGATGGCACAATAAAACTTGGTCGGATAGTTTTGAAGGAATTTTTCCAATAAAGATTTTCTAGTATGGATAAAGGACTTCCAGATGCATAGATTGCTCTTTCTAGTAACGCTTCTAAATGCTCCTATAGATTTGAAATTAAAATTATGTACAATAAATTAAATTAAAAATACATTTATTGACTTGAAAACAAAGAAAAACTACTAAATAAATAATTTACCTGCTCAGTGTTGGTCATTTTATCAATGAATCCTTTTAATAGTGGCTGGTATATTTTTTTAGGAGTAGACTGACTAACAATTACTTCTTCTTCTGCTGTTTTTGGCAAATTATGTGATCCTGTTTCTCTATAAATTAAATTGCCATCTTCTTCGTCGGAATTGTAAATGTTATCAATACTGGTACTAGTAGTAGTTTCAGAAGTACTTTGATCACTTTTATTTGTTGGTGTTGGTGATGATGATAATGTAGCACTTGCATTCCATGACGTGTTAATTTTTTTTTTTTTAATTTTTGACGAAGTTCTTTAGGACATTTTAGGCAGTTACATAAATGATGTTTCATTCTAGTGGCATTTCGATAAAAAGTAGCACTTTTACAAAAGTTGCAAATAAACTGATTGACATTGCCATTTGTAGGAGAACCTATAAGTACCATAAGTAACCCATATTTCACCTTTCGGTTTTTTTACTTGTAGAAACCAATGGCATTTTTAATTAATTCAGTTCAACAAGAATACAAGATTAGTAATAAAATAATATTTTATACTTTTAGAGTAAAATTTACTAAAATTGTCATATATTACGAAGTGTTAATGTGTTAAATGTCAATACTCTTGTTATAACGTTGTATAACACTATAACCAAATCACGAATTATATAATCAGTTAAAAATAAACATTCCCGTTGTAAAAAACTACATTTGTCCGGTTCTATTTTTAGATTGTGAATACGTAATCTTTCGAATACGTCAATTAATTTTTCATTGTGGTCTTGTAAATTCTTAGCATACACTATTATATCATTCAAGTACACTAAACATTTCTTTCCTATTAATCCTGACAGTACGTTCGTCATCATTTTTTGAAATGTCGCTGGAGCTGAACTTAGACCCATAACTAACCGTTTAAATTGATTATGCCCTTGTCCCGTTGAAAATGCCGCAAGCTCCTTTGATTCCTTAGCCAAAGGAACCTGGAAATATCCTGATTTCAAATCGATCAAGCTGAAGAATTGACATTGTCCTAATTGGTCTAATATTTCCGTTATATTTGGTAATGGGTGAAATTCATTTAAAGTTACTTCATTAAGTGCTCTAAAATCGATGTTATGACCACAGAACAATATTATTTGTACCATTTTGTATTTTTGTACTTATTAATTTTACAATAGAACAATAATTTTACCAAGGTTTAATGTTTGTGTATTAAAATTTAAAGGAAATTACTTAATGTATCTAATAACTCTAATGAAAAAATATTATAATACTCTTAAATTAATGACTAATGTGATAATAGGTAAATGGATTTGGAATAAAATACTAGACATAAATAACAAACACATTGGAAATGTTGTAAGAATATATTTAATTTATTCAATGAAAATAAAACCTCGTGAAAGCCAATTTATAAGGTTAGGTATAAATGTAAGTAACTATTTGTATTGTAATTTATTAGGTTAATTATTATATTATATTATTTAAAATTTGCATAGCATTTGTCGCAAAACCAATGCTTGCTGTGTTCTTTAGTTTTTACACAATCCATATGATGCAAAACCAAGCAAGAGTCGCACAAAATAGATGGTCGTTCTTCTATTTGATAGTTGCACGTTGGGCATATCCAGATGGTGTTTTTTTTTTTTTTTTTCATTAAAGAAATTACTGCTTTCCATGCTTCTTTAGAACAGTATGGCTTGATACTCGCTACATCAATCTCGTTCTCAACAATTACATTGGACACATTTTCTGGATGTTGGACATCTCCTTCTTGTATAAGGTATTTTTCTTTCCGTACCTTTCTTACCACAGCCTTGTTGGAGAGCCATTCCATTACCAAGTTTTCCTTGGTCAAATAGTTTAGTAAAACGAATTATAGTGGTTTAACTACTTTTCGTTTGATCTGTAAACCTATTGTGGTTTTTGTTGCTCCCTTAGGTCTACCACAGCATTTAACTTTTTTTGGTAACATTACATCTTTTATGGCAATTTTAACATTTTCAGTTCGAGTTTTAACAACATCAATTTCGTCACTTGTTGACTGACCTGTTCCAACATTGAATTGACATTCATCAGGTTGATCAATTGCTTCACAAACTAAGCTTGTTGACGGTATGTCATTTTGACTGTACAATTCTTCCAGCTGATCAATTTCCTCACAAACTAGGCTTGTTACGGTACGTTGTCACTATCCAATGTACTTTTTCCTAAATGATAAATTTCAAGTTAAATAATGTTGTAATTAATATTTTCTTACATAGGTACCTGACTGATCATGTTGACTATAAAATTCTTTGGGCTGATCAATTTCCTCACGAACTAGGCTTGTTGACGGCATGTTGGACAATTGTACAATACTAATTTCTTCATTTTTGCTCCACAAACTTATAATATTGTCCAATTGAGCCATTCTTCTTTCATAGGTATGTTGTGAAGATATAGATAGAAGTTCGGCTAATTTAGATAATTTTATTGATGATTTTTGAAATTTTTCATTGGCTGATAATAGTCTTTTTGAATTTTTAGGTTGTATGTCAACAAAAACAGGAGTTTCACCCTCGCATGGCATCAGTGGTTCTTTAAGTATAGTTTGAGACTTATAATAGTAGTTGCGTGTCTATCTTTTATCACACAGTTTCTCATCATACAAACAATTATTTGTTGATCTACGTTTATTAAAAATATGAATACATGGCAATTTCATCGAATTAAAAAATCCACAAGAGCATACAGTTAACGTAGTAGCACATAGGACATTACTATTTTCTGTGCTTGATAGACTTTGTTTTAAATAATTAAATGCATATGGCGTCAAAAGCTTATAATATTTATACTCGTCATCGCTTTTAAACTTTTTGGTTGGTTTTAGTATGATACCAATTGTCTTGCTATCCCTCTCCGAACGAACACACTTGACAACTACAAATAGTTGTTTAAAGAAGTCCGAAAGGTTTGAAAAGGTTGGTATCACAGATTTTAATTTAGAATTAAAACTTTCTAGCCTGTTATTGGTTGCATTTAAAAAGTTACCACTATTGAATGCCAATCCAGTAACCCATTCTTCACGGATATCATGCCAATTTTTAATAAAATAATGTTTTACCGTATGAGGAGCTTCACTTAAAAAAATGGTATACATATCTTGGTACTCTGTCTCGCTTTTGCAGTAACATAACTTTTCTATTATACCTTTACTTGTATCCCTTTCATCGGGAGTTATTCCTAATTTTTCGCAAGTGATTTCGCGATTGAATGTGCGCAGTGTGTGGAATAAACAAATGACCAGTCTACACTGTGGGAATAAAGATTTAATTACAGTTCGCTCCTTCATATCTTTATCTGTAATAAAGACTCTTGTCATTGAACAGGCTGGGTTACATTCTTTAAACTTGTTAAAAAACCATTCTAATGTCTCTCGCTGTTCATTGACCAACAATCCAAAAGCTGCTATCTCGCTTTGACCATTGCCATCCTCGATCAACAAAACATATAATGGAATTTTGATGTCTATCAACTTGTACGTAGCATCAGCGCAAACCATCTACATAGATATACATTAAGTACAGTTGTATATTAATATTATGAGTAAATTCCAGTTTCTTCGGATATTTCTAATGTCACTTCATCTGCTATAGTAATAGAAAACTATAAAAATTATCTTAATAGCATCAATGCGATGATGCACTAAAATATTGGGTTTAAATTACACGGTGTTTCAAAAGTCTTCATCCAATTACGAACTGATATATTTCGGCAACGGTTAATCGCAGGTTAATGACCAATGTATTAATGGAAAGATTAGATAACTAAGTTTATTTTAAGTTATCTAGTTGATAAATTTGGCACCGTAATGGTTAGTGAACTAGGAATCGTTAGTTTGTTTTGCTATGGCGACTCCGCAACAGAAAGCATTTTGCGTCTTACGTTTCAATAAGTGCGAGTCGGCGATAACTGTTCAACGTGATTTTCGAAGAACTTATGGAACTGAAGCTCCTACTGCTCAAAGCATTCGACGTTGGCACCAAACTTTCCAAGAAAGTGGTTGTCTGTGTGCACAGAAACGCTCAAGTCGACCTCGTACCTCTGACGAAAACATCGAGCGAGTTCGACAAAGTTTCGTTCGAAGTCCACAGAAGTCTACACGTCGTGCAGGCTTAGAGCTAGATCTCCCACATTCGACCGTTTGGCGTGTGCTACGGCGTCGTTTGACATTGAAGGCATACCGAATACAACTGTTACAAGCCCTCCTACCGGATGACAAACAAAAAAGGATTGATTTTTGCAATTTCATATCCGAAAAACAAGAAGAAAATTAGTCATTTGTCTCACGCATTGTTTTTTCGGACGAAGCCACATTTCATCTAAGTGGAAAAGTCAACCGCCATAATATCAGGATTTGGGCTTTAGAGCAACCACACGCAACTGTTGAGCATCAAAGAGATTCACCAAAAATCAATGTTTTCTGTGCAATTTCCAGGAAAAAAGTTTACGGTCCATTTTTTTTCGAAGAAAACACAGTAACGGGTAACACATATCTTAACATGTTGCAAACAAGGTTGTTTCTACAGTTACAAGCGGATAGTGATGATTTTGTTTTTCAACAAGATGGAGCACCGCCGCACTGGAAGTTAGAAGTTCGCCGGTATTTGAACGGTGAACTCCCTCAGCGGTGGATTGGGCGTAAAGGAAACGACGATTTGGCGATTCATCCCTGGCCACCACGTTCCCCTGACCTCACAGTGTGTGATTTTTTTTTATGGGGCTACATAAAAGATAAAGTGTATGTACCACCATTACCTACAAACTTGGAAAAGCTTAAAATCAGAATCAAAGATGCTGTTAATGCCTTGACACCAGATTTGATCAGCAACGTTTGGAAAGAATTTGATTACCGTATAGATGTGTGTCGGGTGGCCGGTGGGGGTCATATTGAACATTTGTAACCAAAGTAAATAAAAGTTGACTATTTTAAGAATATATTTTACTTTATTTAACCCTTATATCTTCATTTTTAATATAAATATAATATTCTGAAATCGGATGAAGACTTTTGATACACCCGGTATATTATACAAATTCAAATATAAAACGCCGCGCATTTGATAACAATGTGGTCGGGCGCCTACTATCACTCCGACCATGGTCGGGCGTCTATTATCAGTCCTACCATGGTCGGGCGCCCACTATAATCCCGACCATGGTCGGGTGTATATCCACAGCGTTAAAAATACATAAATTTCATTATAACAATACTAAATGGCTCGCTGTAATAAAAGAATACACCATTTTCGAAAGGTCATAGTTTAGTCCTGAAAAGAACTGTTAAGTGAAAAGTATTTGACTAAAAATACTGAAATCACTAATAATTTTTTACACATTAGTTGGTTATAACTTATAAGTTATACACCCAAACTGAATCATTATAATAAAAGAATACATCAATTTTATTATTTTTCACATGATCATGGTTTAGTCAGGAAAAGGACTGTTCAGTGAAAAGTATTTGGCTAAAAATACTGAAATCACTAATAAATTTTTACACATTAGTTGGTTATAACTAGAGCCCGGATTAATATGCACTAAAAAGTATCAAAATATGCCATATAATATGCAGTAAAAATCATTAAAATATGCAAAAAATATGCAATAAAAAAAATGATATTAAAAAAATTAAAAATTATGTTAAGCACGAAAAAAATACAAATATTTAAATTTAAACACATACAAATAAATACATAATTATTTCTATTTAAAAAAAAAAAAACAAAATATATAGCTCAAAATGTGTGTTTTTATTCTTTATTGTTAAAATTAATTATTAAATGATATTCAAGTTTTTCTTCGGTAAAACTGTGCCGTCTATCTGTTAATAAATGCTTGTATATTGAAAATGATCGTTCAACATCTACCGAAGTTATTGGAGCAAATTTAAAAGAGCTTAAAATCATTGGATCTTTATAGTTTTAATCTAGTTGAACCACTTCCGCATCCCCTATTAATACTTTATTAATGTTACGTAATACTGTTAGGCCTTTGTTTTTGGAAAAAATATCATTTAATTTTGTTTTTAATGTTGCCCCTTTTGGTCCAGGAATAATGTTTATTTTTTCTTCTAATTCACTTATCAAACAAAAACTCTCAGATAAAAGCATATTTTGAGTTTCAAGTTTTTTAATTATTTCAACTAAAAATGACAAATGAGTTGATATAAATGTTAATTCATTCACAGTCGATCTATCTTTAATTATATCGAGTACTTTTTAACGCATTGTGCATCGTCTTCTGCGAGCTTTTCAATTACCTTTTGGTATTTTATAAAATATTTCGCGTAATATAAAGCAGCAGCTATCCATGTACCCCACCGGAGGTAAAGGAATATTTTCCATTTCATCTTTGAAAATTGAAATTCTACTCGGTGATTTTAAAAATATTTTTTTTCCATTATTGATTAATATATTAATGTTAGAAAATAATTCACGAACTTTTTCAGCAATTAGATTACAGGCATGTGCAATACAAGTCACTTGTATCATATTAGAATAAAATAACTTCAAAGATTTTCCTGATTTTACCATGTACGGAGCTGCGTCTGTCAATAAGAGTAATACGCGTCTTTCCATGCCTACATCAGTCAATAATAATATTTATGAGTCATTTATGAATTGACTTATAGTTTCGTTATTCGTTTTATTTAATTGTTTGGATGCCAAAAGATAAGGTCGCCCTGCATAATCCTTGTTTAAGACACCCACAAGTAAATTAGCGATGTATAAGCCCCTCGCATCAGTGGTCTCATCAACTACAACGTAAATAAAATTGTTTCCAATTTTTTCT